CGCTGCCGTCTGATGCCACTGCGGTGCAGGGCGGGTAATTATGCACGTTGCAAGGAAAATAATAAGGCCGGCTCCGTAGCGGCGTCTAAAAATACTGCTAATGCGGAGCGCCTGCCGGGCGCCTTTGTTTGTCACCTTTGGGTGCTTGCTTTGAAGCGGGCTGGGCCGCGGGAGCCGCGGGGCGCTGCAGCTCGTCCCTGGCCCGCGGTTCGGCACCGGGGCGGTTCTTAGGGGGAGACAGGAGCTGCCCGGGTGGATTCGGGGGCTCGGGTGCACATGCCCCCTGCGCAGAGCTGGGCTGTGCCAGGAGCTGCCGCGGGGCTTCCGAGTGCCTGGCCTTGCCTGGAGCTGCGGCACTCCGGCTGGCCCCCGGTCCCATGTCCCGGGGGCCTCTGTGCAGATGTGATCGTGACCCGCTCTCGGGCGTGCTGCAGAGGCCGGCAACAGGGCCCGCGGTGCATCGGTCACCAGCCTCGGCGGGGCTGCCCCCCTGGAGCTCTCTGTGCTGGCGCTGGCAGGACGGGAACTGCTGGGTCTCCCACTGCTCTCTGCCTGAAGGGAGCCCCAAGGGAGGGAAGTGGGTTTGGAGGTGTCACCGGTGGCATCTGAGCCTCAGGCTGGAGCTGCCAGGGGTGACACAGCTGGCGTCTGCTTGAGGCCAGCTCTGGCAGTGCCACTGGGCACCCTGTGAGGACAAGCAGGGGACAGTGTTCCCCCGGTCACACACAGCCCTCACCGTTACCGCCGTGCCCGTGGGGCTGCGCTGCGTTACGGGGCACTGTGCCGGGCTCCTGCCAGGCACTGAAGGTGAGTTCCGAAGCAGCACTTGGAAGTGACGTTCCCTCGAGCAGCGGAACAGGCCGCCCCTACCTGACACGTCGTGCGGCTCCCGCTCGGTGAGTGCAGAACAAAGAGCGGCGAAAGGAGACTTTGCAAATCCCCATTGATTCGCACAGTGGAAGCTGCTCGCTGTGTGTTTTGTGTCTGCCTGCCTGGGACCAGGGCTCTGTGTGGAGGAATTGATCAAGCTGTAAAACTCAGAGCCAGCTAATGAAATAGGGACTATAGATTTTTATTTTAAATGGAAGAGAGTTTAGGGGAGATTTAATTATCCCTGTTTTATGGACCCGTTAGAGGAATGAAATAACAGCCAGCAGGTAGTGCTTTGGCTGGCAGCACTTCTTCCAGGTGTGCAAAGAGCCAGTGAAATCCTGCTACGCTGGGACAGGACAGAAGTGGCTTGGAGTGGAGCAGGACGTGGCAAAGTCCCCCTTGTGCTGGTGGGTGGTGGGAATGTTGGCAAGAGAAGCACCCTGAGATGGCTGGGGGCTGGTGCTGGAGGCACCGGAGCAGAGTGGGCTGAGCTGGCCCAGCGCAGCCTTGTGGCCCGAGTGAGGCTGGTGCAGAGCAGCTCTCCCTGTCCCCGTGCGCTGGCGGGTCCCTTCCTTGCGGGAGCGCTGAGCTTGCTGCGCTCGCAGCTCCTCAGGGGTGGCCCTACCTGGGTGCTCTCCCAGCGCTGTGGAGCCTGAGCTCCTGTAGAAGCCTCTGTACCTGTGCAGAGCGTGTGGGGTTTGTAAATGAAAGCTGCAGAGCGCTGGGATTTGCTGGGCTTAGCTGTGTGTCCGACACGAGATGCAACACTGTCACTACGGCCACTACTACCGTGTGCATCCACTTCACGGTCACGTGCGCCTGGCCGCGGGGCACGGCCGGGGAGGGTGGCCGGGCAGGCAGCAGGAGCAGCGCTTGGCTTTGGCAGAAAAGCAGGGAGCTGTTGGAGGGTTTGGGTTTCTCATCTCTAACCTGGAAAGCTGGTGCACGGCATTTCCCTTGCACCCCTCAGCTCCCTGCACTTTGCTCCCCGTCCTGCACGAGGTGCATGGTGGCTGAGGCATGCCTGTACCCCAG